TGGATCAACGTCAGGTACAGGGGCGTTACATGCCGCAAATAGCGTGGCAAGCGTGGAAACTAAGAGATAGGGTGAAGGCTGTTGAGGCTTTTCAACTATGAGGATATACAGACGTTTTGGTCACTTCTGTGACAGCATGTCACATTTGCTTATAATAGTGAAGTTGATATCGAGGATCGCTCCTAGAATAGCCCGGGTGCGCCGACGCTTGCAGTGATCATCGTAGCAGATGACCTCCTACAATCAACACTGGTCGCATGGCAAATAATCGCACTGCCCATGTTGCATGGCATCCCGGTATTCTCGCTTCATCCTCAGTTCTGGACTCATCCATCCTTTCATGGCGACAGCGCGATATATACCATTTTCACTTTAAATTCACCCTTTTTCAAACCAAATTCACCCTTTTTCAAACCAAATTCACCCTTTTTCAAACCAAATTCACCCTTTTCAAACCAAATTCACCCCTTTTCAAACCGAATTCACCCTCACTTTTCACATCAAATTAACCACTCATAAGGGCGGGCATCATCAAGCAGACCATGCCAGACATCACTGCGAGCCCCGCCCCGACGGCCACGCCCACTTGTCAGCGCGGACATAGATTCTCAAATCTTGTTTCATAACTTCTGCTTTTGCTGTTTCCCACAAACACTTTGACTGGAAACGACCGGGCATTGACACATGGCCGACTCCGCCCATTTTCTAAAGGGTTTGGCAATCTAGGCTGACCACGCCCACTTGCTTTTCGCGGACTTTCGATATTTTTCAAAATTTTTGCATTTTAGGGCTGCTGCGTGAAGCCCCGCCCACTGTGAGAGGCTCCGCCCACTTTGAAGAAGCCCCGCCCACTTTTCAAAAATGGTGCAAATCGGCAGTATAGAGACTTGGCTTGCATGCTAGGGTCTCGTTCGTCACTCGGAACAAGAAAATCCGGCAAAGTTTATTCCGAATGATCAGCAATACCCTAGCATGCAAGCCAAGGCTCTATACTGCCGATTTGCACCATTTTTGAAAAGTGGGCGGGGCTTCTTCAAAGTGGGCGGAGCCTCTCACAGTGGGCGGGGCTTCACGCAGCAGCCCTAAAATGCAAAAATTTTGAAAAATATCGAAAGTCCGCGAAAAGCAAGTGGGCGTGGTCAGCCTAGATTGCCAAACCCTTTAGAAAATGGGCGGAGTCGGCCATGTGTCAATGCCCGGTCGTTTCCAGTCAAAGTGTTTGTGGGAAACAGCAAAAGCAGAAGTTATGAAACAAGATTTGAGAATCTATGTCCGCGCTGAAAAAGTGGGCGTGGCCGTCGGGGCGGGGCTCGCAGTGATGTCTGGCATGGTCTGCTTGATGATGCCCGCCCTTATGAGTGGTTAATTTGATGTGAAAAGTGAGGGTGAATTTGGTTTGAAAAGGGGTGAATTTGGTTTGAAAAAGGGTGAATTTAAAGTGAAAATGGTATATATCTGCAAAGAAAAAAAGGTAAGTGGTCTACCGATATGGTTTACCGACCACGAAAACCCCCTTCCGAAGGAACGAGTAAGTCCCATTTCCAATCGTAATTTTTTGTAACTTAGAGTTATGAATTGACTAACAGTATTCCATAAAAATTGTTAGTTCACTTTGTTGATCATATTCGTAAGAGGTCGAAGCCTCGAACACTCACTGCCTATTTTTTTCTACACCATACTCGTGGAGTGTGGGGGCCGTCTTAAACCTAGGCACCACCGAAATGCAACAGAAGTCATCTTTTCCACTGTGATATCGTGTAAGAATGAACCGGCTCACCAAGTTAAACGTGTGAGTGCTGATAGGCTACGGCATAAAAGCCGTTAAGCTGAGAGGGTAAAAGCGGCCCTGGTGGCGTAACGGATAGCGCACTCGCCCGGAAAGCGTGAGGTGCGGGTTCGACTCCCGCCTGGGGCACGACTTTTGCCCACAAGCATTCTTGTGATAACTTTCGCAACGCGTACTGCGGCGTAAAACAGCAGTTATCAAACAAAACAGCTTCAAAAATTGCGAGATATTGTTGTTGGTGGCGTGTGTTGTAATCCTTGCGTGGAGCATGCACACTTCCCTCACAGATTCTCTTGAATAGAAAAGTAGGTTGCTCAGAGCAGATGTGCGTGAAATAAAAATTTCACTATGTTATTGGTGGGATTTCTAAGTAAGCTATGTCGCTGAATACTGCAACAGCAGTGATGGCCACATTCTACATTATACTACTCGGCAAGGCGAAGACGGCATATACTTATCATGCTACGTCAAAACAGATGGATTTTCATCAGGGAATGCCACCGTACCCAGCATGTTTACCAAAGTTAACAGCCTCTAACTACCACCACATCTGATGCCTACCGCATGTTTTAGCGAGCAAAGACAACAAAAATCGACGTCTATTCGAAAATGAGGTTCACCTCTTCTTTTTATCGCAATTGCCGTAGTTCTATAAGAGTGGAAATGAGAAGCTGTGCAGAAGATGGGCAATAGTCCTGCTCATCAAAGCTGACTATTTGTAGATTGGTGGTGTCCTTCAGTGAAAGGAAATTTAGTTCGAAAATATGGTCAAAGTGTCACAAGACTTTCCTTCCAACTGAATAGGTAATTGCGGAATGTGGCCTTGAAATGATAGAAGTTGTAGAAGCAGCAAAAAAATTTGAGCCATAGAAGTCTGTATTGTTTTCACTCGAAAATAAGAGATCCGTTAAAACACTTATTCGCAAAAAAATAGCTTCAATTGAGGCAATCTCGTGTCTCGCCGGGAAGTTTCGCATTCAAGTTGAGGATTCCAATGTCGAATCAACTGAGGCGGGCATTGACACCTGGCCGACTCCGCCCATTTTCTAAAGGGTTTGGCAATCTAGGCTGACCACGCCCACTTGCTTTTCGCGGACTTTCGATATTTTTCAAAATTTTTGCATTTTAGGGCTGCTGCGTGAAGCCCCGCCCACTGTGAGAGGCTCCGCCCACTTTGAATAAGCCCCGCCCACTTTTCAAAAATGGTGCAAATCGGCAGTATAGAGACTTGGCTTGCATGCTAGGGTCTCGTACGTCACTCGGAACAAGAAAATCCGGCAAAGTTTATTCCGAATGATCAGCAATACCCTAGCATGCAAGCCAAGGCTCTATACTGCCGATTGCACCATTTTTGAAAAGTGGGCGGGGCTTCTTCAAAGTGGGCGGAGCCTCTCACAGTGGGCGGGGCTTCACGCAGCAGCCCTAAAATGCAAAAATTTTGAAAAATATCGAAAGTCCGCGAAAAGCAAGTGGGCGTGGTCAGCCTAGATTGCCAAACCCTTTAGAAAATGGGCGGAGTCGGCCATGTGTCAATGCCCGGTCGTTTCCAGTCAAAGTGTTTGTGGGAAACAGCAAAAGCAGAAGTTATGAAACAAGATTTGAGAATCTATGTCCGCGCTGACAAGTGGGCGTGGCCGTCGGGGCGGGGCTCGCAGTGATGTCTGGCATGATCTGCTTGATGATGCCCGCCCTTATAAGTGGTTAATTTGATGTGAAAAGTGAGGGTGAATTTGGTTTGAAAAGGGGTGAATTTGGTTGAAAAAAGGGTGAATTTAAAGTGAAAATGGTATATATCTGCAAAGAAAAAAAGGTAAGTGGTCTACCGATATGGTTTACCGACCACGAAAACCCCCTTCCGAAGGAACGAGTAAGTCCCATTTCCAATCGTAATTTTTTGTAACTTAGAGTTATGAATTGACTAACAGTATTCCATAAAAATTGTTAGTTCACTTTGTTGATCATATTCGTAAGAGGTCGAAGCCTCGAACACTCACTGCCTATTTTTTTCTACACCATACTCGTGGAGTGTGGGGGCCGTCTTTAAACCTAGGCACCACCGAAATGCAACAGAAGTCATCTTTTCCACTGTGATATCGTGTAAGAATGAACGAAACTCACCAAGTTAAACGTGTGAGTGCTGATAGGCTACGGCATAAAAGCCGTTAAGCTGAGAGGGTAAAAGCGGCCCTGGTGGCGTAACGGATAGCGCACTCGCCCGGAAAGCGTGAGGTGCGGGTTCGACTCCCGCCTGGGGCACGACTTTTGCCCACAACTCAGCATTCTTGTGATAACATTCGGAACGCGTACTGCGGCGTTAAACAGCAGTTATCATAACAAAACAGCTTCAAAAATTGCAGATATTTTGTTGGTGGCGTGTGTTGTAATCCTTGCGTGGAGCATGCACACTTCCCTCACAGATTCTCTTGAATAGAAAAGTAGGTTGCTCAGAGCAGATGTGCGTGAAATAAAAATTTCACTATGTTATTGGTGGGATTTCTAAGTAAGCTATGTCGCTGAGTACTGCAACAGCAGTGATGGCCACATTCTACATTATACTACTCGGCAAGGCGAAGACGGCATATACTTATCATGCTACGTCAAAACAGATGGATTTTCATCAGGGAATGCCACCGTACCCAGCATGTTTACCAAAGTTAACAGCCTCTAACTACCACCACATCTGATGCCTACCGCATGTTTTAGCGAGCAAAGACAACATTAGTCGTAAAGTCGAAAGTAGCACTTCATCACCTGTGTGGCAAAACAGTAAGAAAAAGCTTTCTATGAAAAATACCCTGGTCTCAGGAAGACCGAGCGTGGCGACTGTCTTGAACACCAGCAAACGCTTGTAAATACTGCATGATGAGACACCTTCAAATCTCTCCTTGACTCATGGTGAAAGATTTATGTGTGAAGAAGAAAATATCAGTTTCAGTTCCTTGATGATTCATCATCTCAATTGGCACTTTTTTATTAATAAGTGTTACAATGTGTGCACCCGGGGTGGCGGCGACAGTCTTGTTTCTACCTTCTCAAGGTTATTGTTCGTAATTATCGGTGTACAGTGTTGCGACTCTAGTCAGCAACGCCTTGGTGTAATAATTTCTTGGTCTAACACTTTTCCCGTCATTTGCCATGACTGCTAAGTTATCGCTGGTCGTTCTGTTATTGCATTTGTCTACCGTCTACTTCTCAGAAGAAATTTAATTTCAGAATGCTACTTTTGCTGGCTCTCATCGTACCTCTGGGTGTTGTTGGCCTACCAGATATCCTTCCCCAGGTTCGCACCTTGCAAAGTACTGCCGTAAAGGGAAAGTTGCTGTGCAATGGGAAGCCATATGAGAAAGCTCGCCTGAAGCTTTACGAAGTCGATCCACGCAAGTTTTTCTGTGATTTTAAATCATACCAGGAACCAGCCGCAGGACTAGCTGATCCTCTAGCCGGCTAGAAATTAAACATTGAGGAAAATGTTCCGCTGGAAGTAAAAGTAAAAGTATTACCTCTTTCAGTCATGGACACCCTTATGGATGAAGCGTTCTCTGACAAAGACGGCCAATTCAAGTTGAAGGGAAATGACACAGAATGGTCGAAAATCGATCCAAAACTGAACATTTATCACAATTGCGAAGACGAGAAAGTGGTACGTGTTTGTCGGTGGTGGCGCCCTATTTTCATTTTGGATATCACTTCTGTCCACCATAAACGGATCATCTGTACTTTGGAGTGTTTTCCTTATCCAGTACTTTGCCTTTATTTTTCTACTTCTAATTACATTGCGAATTCAGGAGTGTTGGCGTAAGGTGCAGATCATAATCCCTGACGATTACGTTACCGAAGGAGGTGAACCGAACAAGACATTCGACATTGGAATCCTCAACTTGAATGCGAAACTTCCCGGCGAGACACGAGATTGCCTCAATTGAAGCTATTTTTTTGCGAATAAGTGTTTTAACGGATCTCTTATTTTCGAGTGAAAACAATACAGACTTCTATGGCTCAAATTTTTTTGCTGCTTCTACAACTTCTATCATTTCAAGGCCACATTCCGCAATTACCTATTCAGTTGGAAGGAAAGTCTTGTGACACTTTGACCATATTTTCGAACTAAATTTCCTTTCACTGAAGGACACCACCAATCTACAAATAGTCAGCTTTGATGAGCAGGACTAGTGCCCATCTTTTGCACAGCTTCTCATTTCCATTCTTATAGAACTACGGCAACTATGATAAAAAGAAGAGGTGGACCTCATTTTCGAGTAGACGTCGATTTTCGGAATTTTCATC